TACAACGTACATGGCCACAGCCACGGCGTTGGCGAAGGCAAAGATGAGGCCGATGGAGCCTCCAAACTCTGGCCCCAAGCTCCTGGAGATTAGGTAGTACGCCCCTCCTGGACAGCAGTCATAATCAGTATTAATCACTGTTTCATCATGTGGTACTGGTTGACTTTAGGGATTTAGTGTCTTTCTCAGGGACACCTCTTAATGTCAGCTGTTAACTGCAAATACTTTCACAGCCAGTCATAATTCTTTTAAATTTCTGGGTTTTTTTGTTGAAACAAACCCTTAATATTGTCTGTTTCAGGGAAACTGGGAAATAAATATTTTCACTAATCAGAAAACATTTTCTAAATGAAAACTTGTGACAGTTTCTGTCTCACCTCCTCGTACGAAACCGTTGGTTGCTATAGCAGAGGTAGACAGACCAGTGATGGTGGTGACCAGGGTGGCCATCAGAATGATCGCAATGGTCAGTCCTATTACAAATGAAATTAACAAAACAAACAGCTTAGTTATAGATGATTTTAATGAGGTGACAGCTGGCCACTTTTATCAAACGTTTACTCAAACAGGAGAGAAATTTGTTGGGAACTATTTTCATTGGCGGATTAATCCACATTTGTGCTCTAGAGAGTATTTGGGGCAGCAGGGCGGTGCATGTGTGAGTCAAAACGAACTACTATGTGTGTTCATAAAGGAATATGTCACCCAATGTGACAGTGTGGCTCACTGATGTGTTTTTAATAGTTTTTTTTAACAATGGAGCTCTATGGCACAGAGGAGTAAGATATATCAGGCTTTGAATTCACACACAATACTTGTTAGTACGACACATTCATTGTTGGTCTGCACATGGGATTTGTTGATGAAGAAGTCTTAAGGATAGAGCCTATGTACTGCTTTAAAAATAATACATCCACTGAGAAAAGCTTTTCTCTGATTAGTTGTTCTGGAGGCAGGAAGCCCCCTCAAGGAGATTGAGCTCACACTCTAAAAGTAAAGTCAAACTGGATTTATTTGTACCGACCTATTCCAGCCTGTCCGACAATCCAGGACATTCGGATGAAGAGCATCACACCCCAGATATTCAGCATGCAGCGGACCTGTAACATAACGCATCTTATAAGTACCAGGTTGTAGGCGCACAATGTGTAATATATTTGATGAGATCATATCAAACATCACATTGAGACACAGAGGAATGAACTTTAACTAACCAAGACTCCTTTGATCCAACCAAACTTGATAGTTCCTCCTTTCGCCTCCTTTGCCGCCAAGGCCGCAGCCGCCTCCTCAGCTGCTGATGGCTCCTCTCCATTGGCCAGACCATCCTCAAACGGCTCCTGACAACCAATCACAGCCAAGATGGAAAAGAGTGAAAGACAAAGAAATGGACAGGTGAGTAACAGAGAAAATTTACCAGAGCCGAAACGCAAAGTAAATTTGTTGATCAACGGAAAATCAATAGACTGTATCAGGTTTCAATATCAGTTTTCTAAATTGTTTGATTTTATTTAGTTAATAAAACAAAAGTCACAAATATTTTACATTGGAACATTTGCTTTGGTAACTTGTGATCAGCATTTGCTGTTTTCAACTCTTTAAAAAGTGTTGCTTTTCATAAATTCATTTACTTTACATTAATTTAATATAGTGGTGTATTTGCAGATTACAACCCCTTCGCCTCACCCTCTCCTTCCAAACGTGTAGGAGAAACTACCGTGGCCATGTAACTTACAAAAAACATGAAGGCGGTCTGTGGCATCTGTAGATAAAAACGACTCATTCTAAGGTAACAAAAACATGATCCTTATTTTCTGGTGGTTATACACTGAAATAAAATCTATAATTTTATAAAGAGAAATCTTCCTTCAACTCAACCAGCCCTGATTATTAATTTGTTTGAAGACAAAACTCTTAACTTTTTCAGAACTGGTTATAGTGACTCCCTGCACAGAAATATTGTGGCACATATAAAATGTGTAAGTAAGAACACATTAGTGCTCCTCATGCCAACCACACAGTCGTGTTTCATTTATACTATACTGGAATCGAGGCCTCAGTAAGTTGTCTGTGACATTTATATGTTGATTTTGGCACCTTGAAAAGAGGAAAATGTAAGCTCTTAAACTATATGATGTCCTGAAAATGTCTGTGTGCTATTTCAACGAGAGCTCAAACGTCATGCAACGTCCTGCTGTCAAAATACTGTATCAGTGTACAATGTACATCTATGTTACAGCTACCTTGTATCTGAGGAGTGGGAGCATGGCAGGGGATGCCTACAGGGTCATGAGAGGCAGCATTGTGTGTGTGTGTGTGTGTGTGTGTGTGTTTTGCGGTCATGCCTCCAGTGATGTCACTGAGCCCACTCAGGGTCTCTCAGATGGGAGTGAAGGGAATGTTTTCTCTTCAGATAAAGTGACTTCTGTCAGGTGGACAAGAAGGAAATGATGACTGCATATTAAGTGCAATCTTCTCTGGTCTTTAAATTAGGGCAACATACAACCCAAATGAAAACTGAGAAAATAAGCAGAATTAATTTGATTTACAGTCCAAAATATTACAGCTCTCTCACTATAATATTCCTGCATGTGTTTATGTGACATATTCTAAATCCTACACACTGGCCCTTTAGAGATCCCTACCAGACATGTATTAAGACATACAAATAGTCTGCTTGTAACAATAATGTGTATTTGGCATGTTTTTTCCACAAAAAAATCTTTCAAAAAAGACATTTCATACCAGAATCTATGAATATCTCAATTTTCAAAAGTTCAAAGTTTTCCTGCTGAACACAAGATGTCTCCTACTTCACTGTAAAGTCCATTCCCAGTGTCTGTGCACTGGCTGCTTCAAGTTTCTACATCACACAGTATAAGTTTCATACTGGACCCAGATGGACTTCCAAACTATTTGTAATGTTTTAAATCATGCTCGTAGGCCCTGTCCCTTAGAATCAGACTTTCAATGAGCTCAGAGAAACTTTCAGCAGATGAATGTGAAAACATCCTTCTAGTGTCAAACTCTGCACATAATCATTCTGCACAGTGAAGATCAAACATCACACTGTAGGAACAATTAGATAAAGTGATTTTTGATTTGATCTGATGTTTTTTATCATCAATGTTAGTAAAGTATGCTACTTATGAACGTACCAATAATACTCACTTGCTAATAATAATACTTAAGTAGACTTTTTAATTGAGTGACCTTTAATTTTAAGTAAAAAGTAAATAGAACTCTTGTTCCACTTTTGCTTGCTTGTGAGATCCTATTATCCAAAATCGTCCCATTGGAACAAGTTGCTTTTGCTGTGCAATCTAGAGATGTTAAGTGATGGACTTAATGAAAACAGGGGTTATTGTCGTTACTTTATCGAGTTCATCGTGCAGCTCCGACAGCGAAGGTCTGGAAAGCTTCTCCCCGAAGGGCGCAGCAGTCTGCCGGTAGAAGTCGATGTTGGGCACAGCGTCTATGGTATTGTGTCCGAAGGTCCTCATGTAGTAGGTGTTGGAGTGGGAGTCGGAGATGTGCGTGTGCCCTGTGCCCGTTGAATGGAGGCTGACTGAGTCGCTCCTCGCCGTGTCCGGCTCGTAGGACACATCAGGCGGGAGGCCGATGTCCATCGCGCTGCCCAGCGCGCCCGAATCCAAGAACCCCACCACCCTGAACCGACCCTTAGACTCATCAGGGTGCTTGGATCCGTCGGTGGAAGCCGGGGCAGGAGCAGGGGCCGGGGCCGCGGTTGGTGTGGGTGCTGCAGATGATGCCTCTGTCACCACATCCACCTGGAAGCGGCTCTGAGCAGAGCCACCGCTCTTCAAGGACGGTTTCTGTCCCGACATGTCCGCCCGGTTTGACGATAAAACCCGTCCAAAGTGTCACCAATGCACCGAGAGACAAACTGTTACCGTGAAATAAACACCTGCTCCAAAACCACGGGGAGGTCCAGGTAACAACGCCGCAGCATTTAGTACCAAACAGTTGGAGTGGAGACACTCTGCCGCAGAGACTCAGGGAAATAAGTCATGAAACTGAAGTCCAAATGAGACATTTAGATTCAAAAGTTACACACCAACAGTCATTCACTCCTCTGCTGTCCTCTTGCAAACTCTGCTTACTGGATGCGCCAGGACGCACGGCAAAGATCTGTGCGTAATGTGCGTAAAGGACACCAGCTCTCTCTCACTTTCACTCTGTCTCTCTCCGTCTGTGTCTCTTTCTCCCTCTCTATCTGTCCATCCATCCACGAGTATCGTCCTCTCAGATGGCGACTCAAACGGTTTATTGTCATCTAACTCTTTCTCTCTCCTCCTCTCTCTGGACTCTCGAGACATCCCAGCCGGTATCATAGCGGCGAGGAGGAGGAAGGAGAAGAAATGACAGATCGGTATCCATTACGCACCAAACATTGGCACGCGTCCTGGCGCATCCAAGTCGAGAGGAAGAGACACAAATGACACTTAAAAAGATGAGAGAGCAATAGTGATTTTATCCAATAAAGTTTAGATAATACTGGAAAATGAATTTGTATATTTTGTTTAACTGTTAAGGCGAAGTGAACCAAACCTGTTTACGAACTGTCATTTTCCAAAAGCGAAAGAAACGTCATAAAACAGTAAAACCTTGTATATAACCATCATAATATTACTTTAAACCAAAGTTTAAAGTGTGTGTGTGTGTGTGTGTGTGTGTGTGTGTGTGTGTGTGTGTGTGTGTGTGTGTGTGTGTGTGTTAGCATAAAACAAAGAGATTTGTCATCACTGCTGGTGACACACTGAGACATCTACATAGAGGCCTAGATTCGCACGCAGGGAGGCGAAGAGAGAGAGAGAGAGAGAGAGTATGTGTGTGTGTGTGTGTGTGTGTGTGTGTGTGTGTGTGTGTGTGTGTGTGTGTGTGTGTGTGTGTGATCATTAGCATAGGAAACAAGAGTTGCTTTCTCTGTCAAAGTGCTTGATGCTGAAGCCAAACACTGGACAATAAATACAAGGACAGAATGGAACCAGTTTAACTTTATTCAACTTAAAGATTAAATTTTGTGAGTCAGAGGCTTCTTAATTTGACAGTGTTATAATAAAGTATAAAATGGAGTCCTGAGCGTGTCTCTTTAGTAATCATAAACTTTCACAGTTTTACCCTAATCATTTGTCCTCATTATTTTCTCATGGGACACTTCGGGCCTACACTTTATATGAAACAAACATTTTAAAACACATAAACTGATTTTAAAATGATAAACTTCACCTGGCAACAGCAAGTTGTTCCAATAAGATTAAGGAAACGCTGAGGCAGCTCTTGGGGCCATGTTGTCCATCAGATTGTTAAAATAATCCTGACTTTAGAGAATATTAAAACTGAATCTGAAGTGATATATTTAAGACCTAATACTCTGACCCACCAGGTGCTCTGTGGTGGTGAAGCTACATCTGTAAGTTACATTTACAAACACTGACTCCCTGTGGTGAACATAAGAACTGCAGGAACAGACTGTGAGTGTAATCAAATGGACATGTAGACATAGGACATAGAAATAGGTTATATATAAGCAAAAATAAATGGATAAAAATAATGAACTAAGGTAGTAACATGGGAATGTCACTCAGCTTGCACTGCATTATATTTATACATTTATACAGGTGAATGAAGGCGTGAGGTAAACACAGATATGCAAGAAGAAAAGGGACATGCAGGGACTCTGAAACCTGCATAAATAATTTGAAAAGACTTTCCAACAAATCAGAAACCAGTATTTTCAGCAGCAAATTATTAGTATTCAAGCTTTTATACTCCTTTCCTGTATTAGTTTTTTTCTCTCTCAAAATTCTTAAGAAAGTGTATCTGTACATTTATCTCTTTGTGGCCTCACAGTGTGTCATTATAAAGTCCCCCTCCACTCAAAAATGTGTTTTTCTTCTTGTTCCTACAGTGTGATGTCTGATCTTCCCTGTGCAGAAAGGCTATCAATTGAGGGATCACAAATAGTTTGGAAGTTCATCCTGGTGCAGTGTACAACTTTTACAGTTGGATGTAGAAACTTGAAGCCTCCAGCGCACATCCACTGAGAATGGACTTTACAGTGTAGTAAAAGACATGTTGTGTCCAGCAGGATAACTTTGCTGCCTGGTTCTTCTTTTTATATAAGCCGTATGTGTTCCTCTGGCATTTTTCTACATTTTTCTCAACTTTTTTTTTTCTATTTATTTGGTGATCATTCTGGCTGTGTTACAGCTTGTGGCATGAATTTTTGCTTTTTTTCCCATAAATATCTTAAACAACTTCAAACTTGCTCAAAAGTACCAGACATTAAATCATTTTCAGGATTTTAACCCTTTAATTACCTGTTTAATTATTTGAATTATTCATTATTTATTACCAAAAAAAGAAACACAAAAATTAATTATTTTCCTAATAAATAGTAGGGGGATGGAGCTTTGGTGGTGATTAGAGTCTTGGATATGTCAAAGATTAGCAACAAAATTGATTTGATTGCATTAGTATTTTTTATGTAGTGCCAGATACTCCCTTTGGACACCTTCATGGCTAAAAATGCCTCATTGACTTCCATTAAAACCACATTTTTTAATCTCCCTGCCATGTCAGCATTTAATTTTGAAGAAAAATAGTGATATTTGACATTTTTACTTTATTCCACCAGAGTCAAGCATTTCCTATTGTAGGCTGATGAATGAAATTCTTGTATTTTTGCCAGTTATATTATGGAGCCATGTGACTACCCCAAGAGTTTGTGTGTGTGTGTGTGTGTGTGTGTGTGTGTGTGTGTGTGTGTGTGTGTGTGTGTGTGTGTGTGTGTTAAGTTTAGTTCAGCTCATTTCCAGAAATCCTGAATATTATTTAATATTTGGTAGTTTTGAGCAAGTTTGAAGTTGTTTAAGAGATTTATGAAAAAAAGCAGAAAAAAACCTTGATGTATGATGATTTAATAGCAGTTTTTTGTGTGTGTACATTTTTGCCACAAAGGTGGCCATAGGGAAATTTGAGGAGGGCACAAGGATTCAAATGGGACTAATCCACCTTTTCCTTGCTGAACTAAATGACTAATTTCTCACTTTTAGTATCTGTATTGGTATCCACCCAAACTATATTAAATGTACAGCTGTGACGAGAACCACAAGCAGACAGATTAATTAGAATTTATGTGATGGGTCTTCAGGTTCGGTAGAGCTGCCTGGTCGTCACCACAGAGCTGTTGTACCTGCAGAGAAACAGAATGACAAGATGTGATGTTATCACTTCCACAAGTGAGAAGTGACCAATATTTCATTTTATTTATGACTCATTTGTTATGTCCCACAGCCTTCAGCAAATCATCAAACATTTTAGTTTAAAGCATACAAACTTGACTTTTCTTGATTCCCGTCACAGCCTGAATGCAGCAGAGGTGTTTTACCTGGAGAAGTGGGAGGTGTGATGAGCTGTCAGTCCTGTCTGGCTGAGCGGAGTAGAAGAAGAGGAGGATGAAGAGGTGGAGTGGTGTGTGGAGTCCTGATTGTGGCAGAGACGCTCCCGACCACAAAAACACAAAGACTCCTCAAGTGGAACCACAGGGATCCCTGCCAGAGCTGCGTTCTGACACACACACACACACACACACACACACACACACACACACACACACGCACACACACACACACACACACTGTGACTCTGACTGAAGAGTTTGCAATGAGATGTGTTTGTTTCCTTCCCTGGTATCTACCTTCATGAGGAGCCTCTGGTTCTTCATGTCCTGTTTCCATGGCATCACATACAGTTTGGGGATCATGGGATGTCGTGCTGAGAACACTGGGATATGGGAGCAGGATCGCCTCGGAGTGAATTTGAGAAGATAGTTACTTTACTTCTCAGGTACTGTGGACCACTGAGTCCAACAAATCTCTTATCATCTCTTTTTTTATTAAAGTCATTTCAGGCTCAGATTAGTTTCAGTGCAGAACTTTAAGGTTGCTTTTCGTCAGCACTGAGAAGATGAAATGAGGACCACGGCAAAATGAGGGAAATGATCGACAAATAGTAATGACAGGTGATATTATCAGTCCATTAAAATTAAATGGGTTAAGCTCACCTCTTTTCCAACATATTCTTTACTCTCCAAACATTTTTATTTTTGAGATTTGCTCCTTAAAAGGAGGTATTGGAGATTTCTAACTAAGCTCCAGACAGACCCTGATGGAGAAGAGTAGCTCATTTTTCCTGATGGAAGATCACATTACCCCTCATTGTGTGCGCTTCTCAAAACCAGAAATTGAGATTTCACTGCTGTGTTATAGTAATCAAATACAATCAAATTGTACATTTAGTTAATGGTAAAATTTGGTATTTTTTTAACTTGAGCGAAAAACAACCAACAGATAAAAACAACGGAGTAAAACATTTCATATCACATCTGAATGAATTATTAATTTGGTTTTGACCTTGGCAGTTCATTCTTCAGTATAAAATTCAGAAGATTACTCACTCATGTTGGTGAGAGCTCCCTGCAGCAGCAGCCATGTTTGTTGACTGTCAGGGTCGCCCTAGAAACCTCCCAGTGCATGGTGGGTAGTGGGTAGGATTACAAGAAGAGACTTTGGGAATGAATCAGTGAACTGTTGGTTAACAGTGGTCTAATTTAGATTCTCCTGGATGTGATTGGCTGAAGAATAAGATTTTTAGGTGAGTAAATAGCAACAGATCAAAGAATTTCTTCCCATATTTGTCTGTACTGCAAAAAAGAGCATGTGAGTTGTTAAAGAGTTAAAGAGTTCCATAAGGAAGGGGCATGCACAGATTTAATGAAAGGGTCACCTCTAACATATGCAGCTTTTGTGTCAGGGTCATGTTGACAACCCGGTACTACACGTTCTCACTCTGTGGTCAAGTTAATAATAACTTGAGTAATAAATATGCAACTTCCAGTTAGACTTTTAAAATGAAAGGTTGACAGCACTTAAACAGGGAATGTGGCAAATACAATATATGTAAGAGAAAAGAAAAAGCAGAAACATAACAGCAAAATAAAACTTTATTTCAAAATAGAACTTCATTCCCCAACAGAGGAAAATAAAATGATTAAATCTGTGTATAGACCCTCTGTGTATAATTCCCTATATTGACAGATCACAGTCATTCCTGTAACAGTCTATTATGTAAATCTCTGTTATGAATCATAATAAGCTTAATGATGTTTACACACGCGGTTACGGCTGCATGTCAAGTTGTTCAGCTGATGCATCAATACATACAGTTAGTTTAACCAAAGGTTCTGTGTTAACAGTATCGGAGGTTTAAAGCCACCATGTAACAAGAAGCCTCAGGTCACTGAAGTGGAAAAGAGCTGTTGGGCCCCATAAAGGCAGAGGCAGCAGCTGCTACATTGCACTGTAGGTTTTATGCATTTCTAGCTTACATCAGAAAATGACAGCTTTAAGGTAGCATGAGATAAACCCAGTCAGGGGTTGTGAAGTATCTACAAAAGCAGCTCCAGCCAGGCCAATGAAAGCTGAAGTCCAGAGCTGGTTGTCAGTCCTACATGTCATCATGCAAACACATTTCTGTGTTTGCTATTTCAGTCGGCTGAGAGAACATCAATGGGATCAGTCTAACAAGGCAAAAGTCAGAAGATAAATGCACCGCTGAGAACACAGCCTTGATCTAGTCAGTTGCACAGTACTGTAAACATAGGCCTGAGTGAATTGGCCGAAAAACATCCAAACTTTCACTTCATTAAAAGTTAATACAGCAACAGTAGCTGAGAAAAAAGATTTTGTTCAACAGAGAGAAAAATATAATAAGCAATATCACTGCCTTCCAAAACTATTCTCGTGAAATGTCAGACCCTTTAAAATACTACTGTTTCTGTTACATTTGCATCAAGCAAATGCAACACTATTACAATACTATTGTATTTAACCAGGAGGTTTGATTTCTAATCAGCTGATGAAACGTGAACCACAGGTTGGCCTGTAATTGCAGTTACAAGAGCTACTTAACAAAAAAAGCTTCTTAAAAAATGTTTGTCTTACTGCAGTAGTGTGCCAGTATACAATGACATCACCGCTGGGTGTGGTTACAGCTGCAGTGAAAACAGTATTTAAAGTGCTTGTGCGTATCATAATTTCCAAGCCCTTTATGTTAGTTACATCTCAGTATTGTCAGGTTGTAACATCCACTATAATAAACTATATATTTACAGTGAATTTACAGAACTGTATACAGCTTTCATCTTAATATACTGGTTTCCAGTACATTCACGCAGCTTCATCCAGCAGCCTCTGCAGGTTCTTCTGCACCTAGAAGAACAGACATTGTGTTTAACTCTTTGTTGTAAGACATGATGCTCAAATGCACATTAATGTACTACAGTTTACTAAGACTATTTACTACTAGTCACATTTCCACAGAGTCACAGCTCCTGTAATCTTGTATCATGTTTCACTGCTTGCAGAGCTTTTTAGTGTCCACTAAGGAGGAAAGAGATCATGTTATTTCCTAAAAACTACAGTACATCTATCCTGGTTATCTAGGTTTTTCTGGTTCAGATTGTCCCTACTAGCCTATATCTCTGCAAGTAAGCTTGTTAGCTAGCCTGCTGACCTTTTCTTTTCTAGAGAATTAATTCAGCGTTTTGGTCGATATACTTATGCTTCCTTTCCAAGAGTGAGCTGAGAAGACTTATACCAATCTCATTCTAGAGCTATTTGCCTCCCAGCACTGGAGCTGGGAGATAACCTAGCTTAGCATAAAGGAATATGTTGTATATCTTTGTTTGTCAGGTTGAAGTAGATTTCTGACTGGTAAGTAAGTTTAGTCACATTTGGTAACATTTTACATAAACAAATCTTTGCATTTCCAATTGATCAAGAACCATTTTATAATATATAATATTTGCAACAGGATACAGTAGATCTAGAAATGGACTAGACAATTACAGTTGACAATTTTAGTGTTTTTGCTGATGAGACTGCACTTTATTTTCCCAATGTTCAACATAAATGTGGCTGCTGTTTGTAACGAAACGGGTGCCCGCCTGTTAATGTTGCTCAGACACATTAAGTGCAGACTTATGGATGAGAAACAAGCTCTTCTTACAGATGACGTCCACGCTTCTCTTTGACTGACTATAAATGTTTGATTAACAGTGACAAGTGTCTGGTTACACTTTGCTCTTTGGAAACTTAAAGCTGTCCTCTTCTGTTTCTGACACAATGTGTGGTTTCACATGTTGATAAAGGGATGCCGTGGAGGGGAAACCATCCTTAACACTAGGTTACCAAGTGACTACTTATCTTTTTTCCTGGACAAATGAGAAGTCAGTGGCACTATAGTGAGCACCAACCAACATTTACATACAATGAATGCTTGGGTAGTTGAGGAGAAACTGATGTATTGTCACCTCTGTGATATGGTGTAAGATATTTTAGTCTTATTCACAGAGTACTAATGCTGCCTATTGACACAGCCAACATACAGAGGGCGCTGTTTACATGGTGTTGCATTATGTTGTATGTATGGAAGTTTGGCAATAAAATGCTCTCTAAAGAATGGCAGTCTGTGTTTCATCCCAGGCAACTGTTGATGTTTCATAAAATTACTCATAAACTAACAAGAATTTATGGGATTGGAAGACACAGATAGACAGACTGACCTTCTCAAGCTTCATCAGGTTGATGGTCAGTAGTTCAGAGAAAAGATCTGTGTTCACGTCGCTCCCCCGCAGAAAGTCATTTCTATGAAAACACACAATGGAGGACATGAGTTCTTATATATCTTCAGAAAAGATTCAGACGCTTCCGTAAACATCCAGAATGAATAAAAGAAAGAGCTAAATCATATAATTTAATCTGTAATACTGCACTGTATGTGTTACTGTGGTTTAGGTGAGAACCAAAAAGATGTGACTCCATGCTGCTTTTTGCACTGATTAAAACATCAGATCTCAGTCACTTTAAAAATAAACAAAAACAAACCTGTTGCTTCTCTCTACTATGGCTGTAGTGTCAACAGAGTATGAATATCAATATTTTGTTATATGTTAGATTTATAACTATTTTCATTTATTATTCTGTTATTATTTCTTATGTTAAATTGGAACTTCTGGGTTCTCTTCCTGAAATAATAAAACCACATTCAAAGTCCTGTTCACATTTGTGATCTCAGAAATAACAAATACATTTTTTTTTTAGAAAGCCTGATGAAAGAACTGCTGAATGAGAGAAGCTAGTGGGACAGATGTAAGACAGGATGTGATATCATGACTTCAGCTGTCACTGATGTATAAAGTAATACATTTATGTTCAAGGTTATTAATCTGAATGCAGGGGTTCCTGTTCAACCTTGCACTGTTCCTGTGTGGGATTAATAAAGTTAATCTTATTTCAGTCTAAAGGCTGGCAGGTAAGGTGTTTCAACAAGTAGGAAACCATTAGTAATATTATTTATCCATCTCTTCCAAATCAGTTTGTATGAAGTTTTTCAAGTTCCATTTTCCCAGGTTTTCCAGGCTGAGTGTGAACTCACTCTTGGTGGGTGAAGTCGCTGACGGAGCCAAGCGTCGTCAGTCTCTGCTCCAAGGAAACGATCTTGAAGGCCAGGTAACAGGAAGACAAGACCAGGAAACACACTCTAAGAAAACACACACACCATAATTAAATGAAGGAAGGATTGTTGAACTGATGAAAAGATGCAGTGGATGAAAAATTAATTAACTTAATGAAGTAAATAAATGAATGAGGGAGCATGTTAATGAATGCATTATTAGATTAATACATAGAAATAGTTCATCAACAAGGACTTAATGTGCAACATTGTTAATGAATAATTCAATCAATAAATGAAGATTGAATACACAGTTGGATGACAGATTAATAAATACATGATGAATCACTGAATTTATTATGAATATAGGTGAATGAATATATTTATGAATGGATGAATGAATGGGTATTAAATGATGAACTGACTGATGAAGTAAGAGACTGAATGACTGAATGGAAGAATCAAATAAATTAATAAATAAATTAATTTAGGAAGAATTGAATGAATGAATGAATGAATGTATGAATGAATGGTTGTAAACTCACAGAAACAGGTAGACAAACAGCACAGTGTTGAGAGAAACTGGTTTCAGAGTTCTGCTGTCAATCACCAGCTCAGAGCCTGGAAATAGAAAGAAAACAAGATGTGTTAATGACATACATGTTTTTTATTGATGGGTTGTTTATTCAGCACCAACAGTCCCAACAGGGAGGAAAATTAACTTTATAATCTGAAAATAATAAACCATATGGGGTAATAAAAACATCTGGAGCCTGCAAATTCAGAGTATTGTCTCTGTGTTAGAGGCAGGTGGAGAGTGGCAGACTGACTGCAGACAGGACAGTATTCATACCAGCGTGGTGTGCGTCATGCTGCTTGTTGTCTGGGCTCAGCTGTTTTTGATGCTGGTTCTTCGCTTTGTGCTGATGGTCTGGATGTTCAGGAGGAGCTGCACCTTCTGTGTTCTTCAACACATCCAGAAATGGAGGAACAGGGAACTCTGCAGCATTGAAAGGTCAGGAAGCAGGGGAAGAAATCGAAAGACTTTTAACTTAAAAGGGCTCAGCCTGACTTTGACCTTTATTCTGCTGAAGTGTCCTTGAAAAAAAGGCTTTCTTTTGGAATTGCCATCTATCTTTCATACTCAGATAGGCCCTGGAAAACCTCCTAGCCACAAGTTGCAGCTGATAAATTAACTCCACCGTGGAATAAGACACAATGGTCAACTTTTTCTTTTTCCTCCTTATTGTTTAACAGTGGATCTTTTCCTTAGGTACACTGTGAAAACAGGCTACTCCACTACAAATGAGTTCATCATTTGTAGTGTATGACTGCTACACTGCTGATAAATAGTTGGTTGGTTGTGGTACCTGCTATCTTCTCATAGTCAGGGGTCTGGGAGTCAGAGCTGCTGCTTTCCTCCAACTCCTGCCTCCGCTGTCTCACTGCTCCGTCCAGATCGCTGAAATCACCTGGAAAACTCTTCACAGGCACGCAGAAAATATGTTACATAGTTGGTGAGTCACTTATTTTATTGAGCACTTGAAATCCAATTTTTAGTATTCTTGATGAGATGAGATAACTGACACCTGAAAACAGCTTTGGGTTGTATATAAAACAAGAAGCCCCTTAATATACAAAACTATACACAAAAATATAACAATATGGCACACCTGAACAGTTTGCAGTTAGTTTTTGGAATGCTATTATTCTCCGCCCCATCTGCCACCTACCCTCAGTGGCTTCTTTCTGTCCACATTTCAAGATACATTTCTGCATGAGTCAGTTTTGCTAGCATTTTACAACAACAGCTCCCATGAGTCTTAGGTCATTGGTATGCCTTATGCATTTAGCCTTGTGTAAGCTGAATGGGATGTAGCAGAAAAGATAAAAAATGTTTCAGACTCATAAGGAAGGATGTTGTAAAAGTGCTGTTTTTGTTATGTAGGCAACACAACAAAGTGAATGTCTCACTTATATATATAATCAGTACTACACATAGTAGTGGTTCTGGTGAGTATGTGTCTGACCTACCAGAGGAAAGCGAGGCGATAGAGGTGACCTCTGACCTCTGAAGCTGTTCTCAGCTGAGGAGGGGACGGGGCTGCTGCATGGACTCTTCTCCTGTACATATTAGACATAATAAGTTTCTATGCTCAAATTCCCACTAATTTTCACTTTTGAATCACCCAATTTAAATTAGTGTTGCTATTAAAAAAAAAGAAAAACAGACAAAGGTAATAAGAAAAGCACCAAGTTTAAACATCATTGCCATGTATCTCTGAGTTTATTTGCTTGCGTTTGATAAAACAACAAAAATAATTTTATTTTAAAATTAACAAATCCATGAAAATAGTTAAAATGTGCATTTAATAGGTTTTCTACCTGTGACATTCTAACAGGGACATGTGGGAGGTCTGTCTTACCTCCAGATGGAGACAGACGGACATCAAGATCTTGTAGGTGTTGTCTCTGGACAGGAAGGACACGAAGACATACTGCAATAAAAAACACAACAGTTTTGTTTCCGGGGTTGTGACACAGAAAAACAGTTAAGCCCTGGGAGGTTTGCTGTGTTGTTATATGGGACAAAACAGCTCTGAAGACTGGTAAAGCTGTCAGAAAACAAAGGCAAATAACTCAGGTAATTTTTTTGTTCTTAAAGGAAGAATTCACAACAACATTTCAGAGTGAAGTGTCCATGTGTGAGCAATGAGATCATGTTGATTTCTCACCCTGTCATTGGCGGTTGCGATCACCAGAGCATTTGGCACCAGGATGGCAGTTTTGGTTTTCTTGATGTGAGTGACGGATATCACTGGGATGGCAATCTGAGATGGACAAACAGCAGGATGAACAGTTCAGCCCTGCAAGGACTAGTTTACTCTCTGTTGGGACAGTATCACTCATCCTGTGGGAAGCAGTGGTCACACTGTTATAAACACTCTGAAACCTCATCAGTGAAATAAATCATATCAGATGATTCAAATAGTGTTTCAGCAGAGAAACACTTCTTCATGTAGCATTGTAGACTAATAAAACTCTTGGTATTAGGATAAAATGCTTCATTATGATTAAAGGCCTGACCACACCACTATTTACAAGAACCAACTACATTTCAAGTGAAGAAAACACACACTTATGTGTAGTTCTTGTGGTTCAACTTTTGGTGAACTTTGACACATCAAGGTTGCCCATAGAGTTGTATGGGTACAGGAGGCTTTGTAATGAGAAAATACTTCAACAACCAGCTGCTCACCCCACCTCAAAACTTTGCTGACTCTTTGCAGTGCTGACCTTTAATAGGATGACCTTGCTTTGCTTGAATAGAAACTCAGTATGTAGCAAGGTATTTAGTCATGAGACATGAGTTGATACAAATACATTGTCTGATTGAACTGCGTTAACTTGGCTCTCATAAAAGAGATTGCTAGAACTCAAAAGACTTGATAGTAAAGTAAAGCTACTAAAATGACGTAAAAAAATGTCTTTTCCTTACTGCACATCAGTAACTTATTCTTTGTTACTTGTTCTGAAGTGTCAGCTGGATAATATACAAAGTGTGTTTTGATAAAACTGAATGTTTCTTTTGATCTGTGCTTTTCTGTGAAGTGACTCCAGCTGAATGTTAATAATTTAAGCCAACATCAAATCAAACCTGCAGCTGTTGGCACCTCACTGTATTCACCAGAAAGACGTGATAACACTCAGCCTTCAGAAAACACAGACAATCTTTAACACTGTGATGTCTCTGTTTGAGACGCTGACATGAGGACTCTGTACCAAGCACCTTAGGGACAGAAAACTTTTCCATGTTGTAGCTCGATGTTCACGACGCTCAAAATAACAGTTCTTTGTGGTAAGAGTAAACTGCCCCAGTTAAAGTACCTTTGTGTCTTTGCCAAACACCTTGGAGTGGAAGCAGATCCAGTGGTCAGAGACAAACATTCGTCCCTGGTAAAGGATGTCTTTCTGCAGAGCACAGGTGTAACCTGACAAAAAGGTAAATAGCATCATAGTTCAGTGGAAAAAAAGATAGAAATGATGAATACAGTATTGACATTAAAACAATTCAGATCTATCAGATAGACCTTTTCAATCAAAAAAGATTTAAAAAAAGACAAGGTTACATGAACCCAAATGATTTACATATAGCCAGACAGACAAATGTGAACCTATCCTTTAAATCATTATCTAGTGTTTAAGGTATCAAATGTTCCACTATTATCTAATCCCTCATTCAGTATTTAAGGTGGAGCGGATAGTTGTGATCATTAAAGACTTACTCTGTCTGAGCTGTTCCTCTTTGCTGATTTCCTTAAATATTTTATGGTACTGACAGTTGCTCTTTGAAAGCTGAAACACAACACACACACACAACACACACACACACACACACACACACACACACACACACACACACACACACACACACACACACAGAGTTAGACACAGAGTTAGAAACATGCTCACATAGACATTAATGATACTTGCATATGCATGGGAAAATAAACACATTGGTAAACTGCCCAGTGTGAATATTAATTATAATTGAGGAGTTGCAGAAACAGCTTAGACTCAGCAGATACTAGGTTTTGGATGCCTAGATATTTTTCTGCACTGACATTGTTAGGTTTAGGCTTATATGTCATGGCATTATGATCATAAGTCACATATCAATTAAAGTAAAGGGTTGATAGACAAGTTATATTTAATAACAACCATGCAGCAGAAATGTTATCTGATATTACTCAGATGGAAAAACAACGCTGTAATGTTTATAGGTGTAATAAAATATGTATCAGGGTTTACTTAATGAATGCTCACCTGGCTGTAGTGAGACTTCTTTCTCTCTATCTTGGGGTTTGAGTCTGTCTGGACCTGAGTCAGCAGGGAGTGGTCGAAGGTCTTTGACCTGAAGACAAAATCAGGACAGACAGAAAAGAATTAACTTATACATCTGATACAACATCAAAGTAACAGTTACACCTTACGTGTCTGCTTGCCTGTGACCCTTGGTACTCTAATTCAAATATATTTGATAACACTATGTATTATAGGTCATCAAGTAAAAGTACATAAATGAAATGTAATAGATATTATATAACGTAAAACAATGAAAACATAAAGCACATCAGAGATCTTTATATGTTAACGGCAGTAAAATCAGGTCAAAAACTGAGATTAAATCTCATTAAAGATTTTTAAAGCTGCATTAATCAATTTGTGGCCACTAGGTGGTGGAAAAACATCAACACATGCTGACAGATATTTACACATTCAGCAATAAACAGATGATGAACTGGTTAGTTTAAGTCCAATATTCCCTTTATAGGTCTTGTTTGGTTTCCACCAACTCCTGAAAACAATGTTACAATGACCAGGAAAAATACTTTTTGTTCTCTCTCAGGCTGCATTACTGATGGATGTTAACACTTGTTTTTCACTTGATGCCTTAATTATTGACCAGCGTAAGCATGAGGCAGCGCTATATATCCGACAGTGGATAAGCAGATCATTAAGATGCGACTCTTGTTTGATTGTTACTTGCTCACATGCTGTACGTGTAGCATTTTACTGAAAATGTATGGATTCGTCCACAAAGTTGGTATGAATGAGTGAGTGCTGTTAGTACAGTCAGTAAACACACCAGACGTAAGGGGTTTTAAAGCCACGATAGTAGCCCTTTGTGTTTAGAAGGGAACTGTCTTGTTTAGTTAAGAAAATTATATTAAAAAACTGTTGTTTACCTGACTAATGCTGGTTTCCTTCTGCCTGAGAGCTCCTGTTGGTCCGGATCAACAGCCTGCAGAGACTCGCTGACCATCCTCTCATATCTCTGCCGCTCCTCCACATTTTCTACATCTGAACTACAGAGAGCAAGAAAATAACAAAATTATACAAATGCTTCATTTAGCAGCAACAGGAGCAGCTAAAGAGTAGATTAAGAACCAATTTACGTACACGGAGGAAAACATTCTCCACTTAATGCAAATCAGACAGAATCAAAGTCACAAGAAATCAACTTAATCTTGTTAACAGCATGGCATTTTACATCAACATCAACCAACATTGTTTTGTTTTTTATATTTAAATTTTAAAAAATCTACAAATATTTGTGAGAACCCTGACTGCATATTAAATGTCCCCACATAATCTTAATGTTGAGAAACTTTATAAAGACATACAGTAATGCAAATAAATATTAGGGTCTTTATTAGAGTCTGACTCACACTGGATTGGCTGGTACTAATATAGATATTTGAGAGTTCAAAAATCCAGTAACAGACAGATATTCATTCTATTACCTAAACTTAGTGACATGTCTGGAGTCTAACTTTAAAATGAACTTGTAAAGTGCTCTCTGGTGGACACTACGACTACAACTATGTAATGGACATTAGTTTAGACTATAGTTTATAAATGACCATAAATATATGTTTGACATATCTGTACTTTAACAGTGTATACACAGACAAGACAAGAATAATATTATCTTGGTTAAACTAATAGCTGGTCGGACTCTAGTTGCAACAATTATTTTCATTATTGATAGAAAAACACCTTTGATATGACCAACGGTCCAAAATGAAATATATATCCAGTTTACAATGATATATGACAGAGGCACTGACAGAGGTATAACTACTGCTATAACAACTACTACGTGAATACATTTTACAACTGATGCCAGCATGCAAACACTACTTCTACTACTACAACTAATACCAGTGTCTCCAGTATATTGCTTCATAATGTATATGTCTTCTCTTTGACCCTGTTTGCAGTCACACACTCACTGATAATCCCTTTCCTCACGCTTTGCAGTTCCTCTGTTACACTTCCTGGCATCTTCCTGCGATGTATGCTGGTTCACACACTGTTCTGTCATCACGCTCAACAGTATCTACCGACCTAACACCCGTCTGTCCTGCTGTCCTGTCCGTTTGTCTGCTGCCGTGAGAACTGAGAGGTGAACTGACCCTGCAGCCTGAGCCTCTGTTCCTTCACCTGCCTGTGGGAGTGTCTGCTGGGCCTCCTCGTCTCACATGTCACAGCCAATCAGACGGCAGGACAGGGTTGCGTGTGTGTGTGTGTGTGTGTGTGTGTGTGTGTGTGTGTGTGTGTGTGTGTGTGTGTGTGTGTGTGTGTGTGCGTGAGAGCATTTAAACCTTTGATCAGTGACATTTTACCCAGCTTTGTCTGAAGAGTAAAGTTTCATTTTTGCTGTCTTCTATGTTGCTGTACACTTTTATTTACATAAAATCTTGGCAGACAGAAAAAGTTGAGGCATTTGGTGTCAGTGGGAACATGGTGTTTTCCCATGCGACTCTTTCTGGCTCAGTTTACATGGGAACATGTCTTCTTTCTTTTTTACTTCCAGGGCTGCACAAACAGAATGAAATCTGATCAGTCCCCCTTTGTTGATATGTTTTGTCATTTATTTAATTTTTACTGGATGTATCAATGCAGGACAGGAGGGTCAGGTAGAAAAAACACCTGTGATATCACTTTACACTGACTACAGTCACTACAATAACAGTCCAGTGAATTCATGCTTTCTTCACATGGACACTGTGAGATTGTGTTTTCAATAGGTAAGACATTAATATGATGTGTCTGAAGTTTGTGTTACAGGGAGAAGGCCTCCACTCTGACACACAAATCTGGCAGTTATTTATTGGTTATTCCAGTAAGATTGTAATACATCAAGTTTCACGCTTTTATTTTGGAGATAAGAGAGAAACAGCCGCTCTACAAGACAGGGCTTCACAGTTGCTGATTGTTGATACTGTCCTTTAGTCAAGAAGTTATTGGTTCTGGGGCACTAAACAGTTGCCTGCTTTGCCTGGTTGGTAATACAGCCTTGGGTCACGTCCCATTTCTTGCTACTATGTGGTTACCTCAGTTTCTGATAATTTACTCACTTTCTGTACTACTTTATCAGGCCTGATTGAGTGGAATTCCAGTGGTGTATGCAAGGGCTCCAGCAGGCTTGCAGATACCTCCTGGTGGTTGTGGGTGCACACTACCCATTAAAATAATATCCGTTATCAATGATCTGAAGAGCCGTAGCAGTACACATAATGTATGGCGCTATTATTCACTCTGGAGCAAAGTGAAACAAATACATTGCAAAGAATCTAAATAACTGTTGACTATATGAAGAAGTTACATTTTCCCCGCAGACGTTTAGTTCCTGTTTAAATTCAGCCTGAATGAGGATATATGATCTGCCTATTATCCTGCTTCTGTGTGTGTGTGTGTGTGTGTTTGTGTGAGTGAGTGTGCGTGTGTAATCTGAGCTGACTGATATCATCTGTGGGTCACTGGGCCACAATGACAAGTTTAGTTATGAAGCTTTTCTCTCTGTGTTTATATGTCAATCTCTCGTTCTTTCTCTGTCTCTCTATTTCAGCTTTCATTCCCTGACTCAGTGTTATTGTATTGTATTGTATTACTTTATTTATTATTTATTTATTACACACATACTGCACACATTCAACAGGCACATAAACACAAAGTAAAATACAAATATTTACACATACACAATCACACGTCTGTGCTTGTAACCTGCTTTCCTGGCCTGCAAGTCAAACTTTAAAGGAACAGTTCAGTATTTTGGTAATACGCTACAGGGAACTTTTATTTTGTGTCGATGTTGGCAGCCCCTGTGGACAAAGGCAGTTGTGTTTCCACCGCCTTGTATAGTACAAATCTTGAGCTGGCTAGTGTGTGCATTTGTTTTTGGAAGCATGTGTAGATACATACTATTTTTCTTTTTTAAACACAGCTGTTTGTAGAATGCATAGTGAAGAGGTAATGTAAAACCTGTCTTAATTCCCTCCACCCGAAAAAAAGGTTGACTTGTGTTTTCACCCGTGCTCTGTCACTGTCCCTTTTTTTTATAACCACAAAATATAAAATCAAAAATGAAATTCTCCTCCTGCGTCCTTTTAACTGGCTGACATACAGAATCAGTGCGAAACTTTGCCTGGGAAAATGTAAACATAGACTCTTCTGGTCTGCATGCAGTAAATTGCAAATAGGTAAATCATGATATTTCATGTCTAGTATGTTATTCTAGTTTACATAAAGACTGGAGGCACAGGTCAACTGACTTGTAAAAATACAAAACCACTAAAGCTTTGTATCTTCAACTCATTGTAAAAACAACAGTTTATAGTTTTTATGGGATTTCTGTGCTGGAGACTATATCTTGTTGAACAGCAGTCAGGAACACAGTGACTGTTGGCAGCTTCCTGAGGTCTTTTGGTCACTAAACCCGTGTTTACCAGCGACAACTCAAAATGTTGAACTATTTGTCTAAACTAAACCAACGAACGAACAATCCTTAGCCCTTTTCTTCAAACACCCTCTCTTTCTCTCTCTCTCTCTCTCACACACACACACACACACACACACACAAACAAACACACACACACACACACACACACTGCACTTTGAAATACAAACAGTGTTGAGTTGTTTGCCAAATCTTTTCCAGAGGTCTGTCATTTTGTTCAATACTAGTTTTGTTTAATCATTGTTTTTCTCACGTTTGCTGATGAGGTTCTTTATACTCTTATTTCTTATGTACTTTTTTTTTACTGGGATACTAATGAATGTCTTGCTGTAGAACTCAATATCCCTCTTTGCTCTGTTGGTGTTTATATTACATATTTCTTTGAAATCCAGTAAATACTATTGAATGCTGCAACAGTTGGAGTTGGACAATTTAATGCCACCTGCTCTGGGAATAAAGTTGAGGAAAAGTAATTTACTTTAGTTGCTTGGATTGATTCATATTCCGATGTAGTGATATACAGTGACACAGTAATCACTGCTGCAGATTGAGTCTCATATGTTGTGCTGTGTAAACAAAGACCAGATGCCCTTTGAAACATAAACACAAACTGAATAAACTGCAGATCAGGATTTGCTGCTAAAAACATTAAACGTCAACATATTTGTCTCAGCCTTTGTCTGTCCCCCAAGTTGGAAATGGAACTGCATTATCAAATCTGTTTAACAATATTGCAAATGTATTATTACCAGGTGTCAACAGAGAATGTGTGTGTGTGTGTGTGTGTGTGTGTGTGTGTGTGTGTGTGTGTGTGTGTGTGTGAATTGGGAAATTAAAAAAAATGTTGTCTGCAAGACAGGACACGTTTCTGTCTGGTAAAGATTCTGGTAGTCACTTTCTCCTGGTAATGAATGTATTTGGCAGCATGAACAAACAGAAAACTCCTGAAGGTTAAACTGGGTTCACAGGCCACTTCTGGGGCTGATTAACTTTAGAGGATCCAGTGTAGACAGATAGAAATTTGCTCACCAGTCCACAGATCAAAGTCTGTTTCCAGATGTTGGGGATCATGCGAGGCAGCTGGATATATTGTGATATCGCGAGAATCCATCTTGCCAGCTTCAAGTTAATGTGCTTGTGTTGTTCGATCAGCATCCTATAAGGAACTACTGGCAGCTATGTGTGTGGTTTGGTGTGACAAGAGTGAAAACAACAATGGTGGAAGAGATTAGTGTAAATGCTGCTAGCATCAGTTCTATCTTTATTGAAAAAAGAGCAAAGAACGGCTCTGAAGGCTTTTCTCCATGGTAAAGATCTTTGCGCTCTCCTCCCTACTGACTTCGACAAGAGTTTGAATACATCATATAGTTTGATGATCTGATTAACTGAAGCTTGTGATAGGCGGTGATAGACAGATCATCCAGTTCATACACCTGCCAGCTTCCATGAACAACTTTCTCAGATGGTTCTGTGTAACAAACCCTCTGATGTGTCAGGTTTTCTGTTCTGATGCATATGTGAAAAATGTTGGACAAAGCCTTTAGGGTCTCTAAAGGAAGCTGTGTAAAGTCTCATAAAGGTCCTCAAGTGATTGGTTGGTTTCTGCAGACTAATGTAGGTGCCAGATTTTGATGCGTAGTCAAAAGTCAAGATAAATGTCTGGTCCTCAATTGTAAGACCGATCTCACAAATGTAATTTCCAGAAAAAAACCTCACAAGAAGTGGGTATTCAGCATGGAGAGACATAGCCAAAGAAAACAGCTTCACCTATAAAACCCCCCAAATTTTTATTTGGTTTTTTTTTTTTTTTTTTAGGGAAAAAGGACATTACTATTATAACAAAAAGTTAATGTTTTCTCACCGGTGAAGATGATGTCCAGTTGTGTGGCAGCCAGCACAGGAAGGTTTGGACATTGTGTTCTTCCTTTTAAATCGAAACAAGTCGTCTGGGCTGTAGTTCTCCATTGCAGCGACGGACTCACTGGCTGATACTTTGACTGATAAACTGCGTATCACCCTAATTTACTGTGGCATGTGACACATTTGGATTTGGATAAACCCTGCCGTATTCTCCCAGGTAGTTCAGCAGTCCTTGTTACATTGTTTTGGATTATTTTGTTCCTATTTTTTCCCTCAATATATACTGCAGGACGGATTTGTGGTCACAAATGACACACCTCCTCGACCCCCGAAAAATAAACATTATCTTACTGTGTGTGACTGGCTGTACGGTGTGCAATATATTGTAGACATATCGCTGAACCCTCTTCTCTTCCAGCCCCAGAGCTCTTATCGGTGACTCTGGTCAATGATAGATAGATATGCTGACTGTGTTTTGTACTTTCACTGCAAAACATTTCTTTACAGTTTAAAGGAGGATTTTTGCTGAGTTTCATCTTTGTGCATCCAGTACAGAGTCAGGTCCAGGACATGTTTTTTGATGATTCCACATGATACTGGTTCCTGATGTCATTATCTTAAATTATGCTTCAAGGTGTGCAAATATAAAGTTGGCTGCAATTAAGACAATTCTTTTCAATGACAAACACCTAGGTCTGTTTGATCCATCTGTACCTGCACGACGTAGTACGCATTTGGGCTCAAAAAGGTGCCATATAAAATAATTTTAGTTTAAAACATTTCCTTAAACATTCACTATATCCTGACAGCAGTACATGACACAGATAATCTATGAAAAACAAAAGGTCTCTCTGGCCCCCCAAGTGCTCCTAATGGCATTTCCAATAATTTAATATTTGATTTGATAACAAATGCTGCTACAATTTTATCACTTTTACCACTGCTACCACTTTATCCAATCGCTTCTTATCACTTACTTAGTTTTTACTTATTTTATTTCAATTTATGCTGCTAAACTGCACGGTGCGTATTGTTGTATAATGTATATACTGTACCTACGTTAAACTTACTTGTTTTCTTGTTTTCTACTTATGTTACCTGTAAGTGCTTGCATTTTGTTGCATTTAGTTAATTGTTTGATTTATTTTATGTTAGCCTTTATTTTAATTGTATTTAATTTTATGTTAGCTTATTTTTACTCTAACCCTGTAGTACTTTACTTTACTCTGGTGATATGCCGCCCCCGGTTTGTTTGGAGTATGAGTTTAACAGGTTGCACCTTTAAAGATTAAATACTGATGAGACCTGATGACAGAGTAATGTGTCCTTTGGCAGAGAGAATAAATGAGATCCAAGCCAAAAGAGTTTATATTGGCACAAAATACTGGCTCTCAGACACTGATATATCAGTATCTGCTTTCAAAAACACACACAGGACATAATTTCCATCCTGTCAAGAGCTATTCTGAAAACCAATAACTTCCAATAAATTCCTGCATCTAATTCTTTCAAAATAAATCACTTCACAAAGAGAGTGAACTGACTCTGCTTCACAACACTGCTCAGAGCCACACACAACTAAATACTTTACTTTATGTGATGTTTAATGTCTCTATAATTTACCCAGTTTCCCCAGGAGGATTAAAGTTTAATATCCTGTCATCAAATGTCTTAATGCACTCTGTGGGCTCCTGGTGTATGTATTCTGTCACTCTTAACGGTCATTTATCTGTATTTATTCCACTTGTCCTCTAGTCCGATAAAGAATGCTTGTCTATGTTGACTGTTCAGGTTTGCAAAACACCATTTTCTCATCAGGAGGGCTTTCTTCATCGCACCAACAGTAGTAAACTGAGTGACAATAATCTGTGGATTCATGTCAGTTTATTGCTGTTTATTCTGCTTTTTAATCTGACAGAGAAGGTTTTTAGCTTGTAGATCAGAGCAGACGATTCCATATATATTATATTATACTGTGTTTTTAAATATATGTTTAATAATGTAAATAATTGGTCTTTGGACAAGTGTGTGACAGACACCTAAAGGCCTTTTTATTTCGTCTGAACATAAACTTTCAGTAATATTGATTATCATTAGAAATAAATATTATACAGTTTTATCTGGTTTAAGTGACTACTTAAGAGTAGCTTATTAAGTGACTCTGTAGTGTCTGTAGTGTAGTGGGGTAGTGACTGCCAGTGGTGTGCACAGACTTTTTGAAGGGCAGGGGCGGCTCCCAAGAGGGAACTTGAGGGCACTTTAAACAATTGGGCCACAGGGGGGGGCGACCGCTCCCCCTACCCCCCTGTGCACGCCACTGGTGACTGTGCAGTAAGCCAAAGATGTTTTATTAACATACATGAGAAATATTTGTAAAAATATACATAAATGTGTGTGTTGTGAAATAAGAAAGAATAGAATATCCCGGATAATTTCCTGAACATTATAGTTTGACCAAAAATATCATTACAAATACTGACGTCACTGATCACATTATAATAGTACTGAATTAAACCGGCCTCGCTGAATGACCTTTAGAAACAGCAAAGAGACAGATATTATAGCGCCCCCTGTGACCAATCAGTGCAGTTTTAAAGCTCCAGAAAATAGCCACTGCTGAGGTGCATTAGGACAGTAAATATCGTGGATATCCGATCACTTTCACCTGAGTTTATGTTTAAACAATAAAGCAAACGTTGTAGCGCCCCCGTGTGGCCAAACAGTGTCATCTTCTGACAGGAATCAGATTTTCTTTCTTCCAAAATCAAATTTGTGGCTTCACTGTATCCCTCTGTAGAGTATTATTACAGAACATAAACAATAAGATGACTAGAATGCATATTATAGTAGCCTATTTTATGTTTTCTTATCTGAAAACGGAAGTGTACATTTTGCAGTGTCTCTGGGATGTAGGCCTAGTGGGATTTTTTTTCAACTTTATTTTTAGTGTTTCATCATTATTTTTTTAATATGGCTATAGCCTGGAGTGTTTTTTTTTTTATTACAAATGAGGCTATATAACACCTACCGAGCACCTCTGTCTCTTTCAGAAATCCACAGCTGTCATTCAGCCTGTGTTGTAGTTTGTGATGGAGCAGGCCTGATCCAGCAGCCTATAACAGACCTGCATGTGTCCACCTATAGCTCGGTGCTCTCTGCCACACTGCGGCGGACTGACAATGACTTGAATGCTGATTATTGTGAAGATCGACAAAGGACACAAGGAAACGAGGAGATGAACCGTTTCCTGAGAGCTGGGGAGAATGGAGGGCTGCTGACGGACTGCAGGGAGCTGTCACCCAACCACACCGCCTCCTCCTCCTCCTCCTCCTCCTCCACCTCTTCCTCCTCCTCCATCTCCATCACCTCCTCCTCTTCCTCCTCCTCCAGCGCCGCTGGCTCAGCCGACAGACACGCGGCCCTGCCCTCGCTCCAGACCCGGGGACCTGTCGGCGGTGGCAGCGGCGGGTCGGAGCCGAGGAGATCCGCGCTTAAACGCAGCCGAGCCGGCCGGGAGGGACGAGAGGAACCGGAGGCGGCAGCGGCGGATCACTCAGCGGCTGCCGTCGCGGTGCGCGGCGGCGGCGAGTTGTGCGTCGGGCAGCAGCAGCAGCAGCAGCAGCAGCGTCGGGAGGCTCAAGGACGCAGCGTCGGTGGAGACGGTCTGGAGATGATTTCCGCGGTCAGCAGAGACGCGGACGGCTGCAGCGGCAGCGGCAACAACAACAACGGTGTCTCCGAGGTGACCACGGCCTCTTCTGCGAGTTGCGCCAAAGGCAAGGAGGAGAGGAAGGGAAAAAACGTGATCCGGGGCTGGAAGAGGGAGAGAGACAGGGAGAGGGACAGGGACGCCGCCGCTCCTCCTGCTCCTCCAGTCCGGACGAGGAAGGAGAAGCCCGGCGATGGCTCGTCTCCTCCTCCTTCCGTCTTCCTCCCGTCGTCCACCCTGCCCGAGCATCATCTGTGCCGCGACGGCCCCGGACACTGCCACTGCGCCGCGCCGGACTCCAGGATCATGGGAGATAATAGCAACACGAACAACGTAAACAATAACAATAATTGCGGGAGTAACGGCGGCAGCGCTGCCGGTAAAACCGCGCTGGATTGTGGAGTTAAAAGCGGCGGCGGCGCTATTGTTGTCAGGCGGCAGCATGACGACACGCCGGCGGCCAAGAAACACAGAGGAGCCGAGAAGGTAAGGAGCTTTTATTGTCTGGAGGCCAATAATAAAAACACATCAACATACAAACAAACACAGCAGCTATCACCCCACACCGGCAGCTGCTTCATCCTCCTAGTCACCAGTTCCAGGAGGAAGAATTGCGCCTTTAGAGGTGGGAAACATTAAAGGAAGAGGAGAGACATGAAATATTTTTTGATATTCAGAGCACACACAGTCAGTCAGATGCAGGTGTGAAGGCCACAAAGAAGCCTGTACAGCAGCAGACACACAGCAGGAATGTTTAAATGGATGGTTGGAGGGAGGGATGACCGCCTGCCTGCCACATGATATTTATTTCCTATTGTTGTTGCCCAGCTGGTGTCATTGTTCCCAGTCTCACTGTCTGTCTGCTGATATTTACCATGCTGATGTACAGAGATTGTCTTTTTTTTTTCTTTTGGAGGGGAGATGAAGAGAGAAGGAGGAGGAGGAGGAGGAGGAGGGAGGCAGCAGCAGTAGCAGCAGTGTGTCCTCCATCTCCATCCTCCTCCTCTTCCTCCTCCTCTTTTCGGAACCATTTAATCCAGTACTCCTTGTTTTTGCTGGAGATTAAAGGACAAACAACTATTTGAATGTGCAGCGGCAACTCAAAGCAATGACGTGAAGGAATACGAATGAGCCTCCTCTGTGAATCCTCCTGTTTTGTTGCATCTGCAAAGGCTTTGTTTGCCCATTTCATTTGGGAAAATACCCATGATGTCAAAATGAATCAGCTGTTAAGAGCCGGGGCCCAAAGTCTTTTTTTAAAATTTCAAATAAGACATAAATACTGCAGGTTGACAGGTTGGTCTGCTGAGCGTTAACAAGCCACTCTCGGGTCCATTTCCCACTCATTTACGGGTATAACAGGGATGTTGCCACTTGTGAAATCATTTCTGGGTTAAAACAAGTCATCGGCAGGAGAGACAAAGATGGAGGAAGATGGAGGGATGGGTGGAAGGGTGAAGTGGGGAAAGAGATGTTTGATAGAGAGGTAGGAATTGGACGTGACAGCAGAGGACACGGGCTGAAAGAGTCTGACAGACAGAGAAAAAAAAAGAGAAACAGATGGAGGATGTCTAGAAGGAGTTTTTTTGGTGGGGGGGGGTGTTTCTTCGTGGATGCAGGCTTAGACGAGGCAGGAAAAACCGAAAGCGTCCTCCCTGCTGCTGGCAGATGCTGCTGACAGGAGGAACGCTGGCCTGCCCCGGCTGCTTTGTTTATTTGTTGATCTGAAGGATTCCCATTTGGCGGTGAAACACACACTCGCACACACACAGACACACTCACCCTGAGCTCTGTGGTGACTGTAATTCATTCCCTGTCAGCAGTAATCTGGGCTTCACTGAAGAGTTTTAGAGTCCTGTGATGGCTGTAGGGGAGCTCAAGAGGCTTAAAACAATAAAAACTCAGATGGATTTTGACATTTAGATATAAAGATTTAAAGGTAGTCGCCTGCATTTTGTCTTTCTAAAAAACCTCAGATTGACAGTGGGATGCTTACCTGCACCTGTAGGGGTGGTTATGAACCATAGCACTCTTCGGATATCAAACGCTATATAGAACCCAAACTTGGCATTGAAAACTTGGTCAGTCAGTGTCAGAGTCTTCATCTCCATTTCCCTATCTTTGATCAGATGTTTCCTTTTTCTAAATGTATTTGGCTAATTTTAGACTGATATTTAAAGCAGATACATTTGAGTTCAATTTATGTAGAAAAAGTAGGATATAGATGATGATGCTTTTTGTATCAGTACCAAAACTCTAATCATAGACATGCCACTTCAAATTAAACTGCATTTAAGTACATTGAGATGTGAAAAATGCCTTTTCAGAAAGCATTTGGACACAAACATTGTGTTTATACTGAGAAGACTGTCCACCGATTTGACTTTTCCCGCTGACCTTTCTCACAACCTCCTGTGATATAAAACACTTGGGTGTAACTAATAATATTACCAATGGACATTACATTAAATAATATATTGTAAAGAAGACAAATACTGGTGTAAATCCTTTGTTCAAACATGTAAAAAATAATACTTATGCTAACATTTTACTGGCAAGAGCTTCTCGTGGTCATGTCAATGATAACTCGATCGTATAGTGAAGGAGAGGGCCTAGGTAGATGGTTGGGTTCTACAAAGTGTCTGACTTTGACCTCTGAGACCGCTGTTCTCACTCTGTTGTCTACTTACAGTCGATGTTTGTGTCTTTCCACTATGACCACAATCTCTTTCAATTTTCACCAACTAATTTTAGCTGTCTAAACCCAACAAACCCTCTCGGAAGGTACTGACAAACAATCTGTTTTGTTTGAGGACTTGTATTGACAGTTGCGGTCAAATTGAATAAGTAATAAGAATAAGACAACAAGATTAAGACTTTGAGTGAGTAGGTCAAAGTTGTTTGTTCTTTTGTTCAAATATTGGTCTAATTTATAATTTTTGTAGTTTTATTAGGGATTTTTGTAAAGCTGTTTGTGTTGCCACAATATCACATCGCTGCAGTTCAGTTTATATTTTATGTGTTAATATCCTTCAATATGGAAGAATATTATATATAATACAATAATACAATATAATGCTGATATCAGTACCGACATAATTCAGATTGTAGAAAGAAACAAGCAGGACTCCCAAAATGCCCCAAACATGTAAAATACATTTTGTTTATAAAAGACTGACTACTTGAATATATTTTTGTGAAAGAGAGTGCTTGCAAAGCCTGGACACAGTGTTATGTCTTCTGATTTCCACTGGAAATGTCTGCAAGAACAGCTCAGCTTCAGCTAATTAATTAATGATGGGCCTCAATGTAATGCAGCCGTTCATAATGATTTCAGTTACACGCATGCTGAATTGGTTAAAGTGTCTGCTAAGGTGAGCAGGGAAGACTGATGATCAATGATTGACAGCTCTCTCTTTCGCTCAGACACCAACATGAATCCTTCTTACACCTGATTGGTTGAACACACCGATCGCTACGCTGTCATCAAGGTTTTCTGATTTTAAAAGTATGATGGCTGAAAATTTCTTTTCATATCTTGAATCCAACCTACACTGCTGTCCACCTCCCCCTCTTTAAATACCCTAAATGATTTCACACCTTGGTCTGATGTTGGATATGTTTAATTATCCTCGATTCAAACACGTTAATGCCTGTTTCCATTTCAGAGTTTCAGAACTGCTGGGAGATTGAACTGTATCAACTATCATGAGCAGAATGTGATATTTTATGATGCATTTAATTTAAATTGAATCAGAATTGGATTAGATAGTTACACCCCTGCTGACAGGAACAACTGTGGAATCACTGAATACATGGAACAGCTGCACAAAGCCTGAATATACACACAAAGCTTAGAAATAACATTCTAATTAAAAAAGATTACTACACAGAACCATGTATTAAATATATTTCACAGAGAAGGCAGAGGTCCTTGTGTGATACCTCACAGTGTGTTTTCACAGTTTCAGCTGCGTTTGTCAGTCAGACAGATACCGTTCAGTTTGAATCAATATAGCTGTCTACGTAGGCTGTGTAACACGATGCATTTCACTTGCGCTATATGCTCAATAAACCTGAAGTGTATTATCCATTTTACATGCATAATTATGGAAATTGTGCGATGGGCTCTCAGCCCTGGCAAAATGCTGCTGACCTACACTCAATACTGTGCCTGAACGCATCATATGTAAACACAGACAAAGGACTGAAGCTGCGGCTGCTGCTCTGCTTACATGCTGCTTTCACGGCCCCTCCCGTGTGAGAGTCTCCAGTACTGTGAGGCTGTACCATAGATGTATTATTAGACCTGGATACTGGACCTAAAGATGGCGCCTAGTCAGTCCAACGCCTTGTGCATAGGCTTTTGCCAATTAAGTTTCTAGCTTCTGGGTTTTCTTTCTGGGCATGCGGCCCACAGAATATGCACAGTAGTGTTTTCTCCTGCTGGCCCCATAGATTTCACATTGTGATGATATCACAGATTTTTAAATCTCTTCTCGGCTCAGGGAAAGTTGAACAAATATAAAGCCTCTGTGGATCAAAAATTCTAAACAGAGTCATAATTGACCTTGTTTGCAGTCCAAGGTGTCCTGTCAACAGTTTTACAGACATCTTTTATAATTTTGGTCTGCTTGGAAAATGCTTTTTGGGATAAATGCTAATGACGGCATGCTAATATACTCACAATGACATTTGCAAATCAGCGCTAAACACAAAGCAGATGGGAATGTCAGTGAAGATACATATATAAACCAAAGTATTGGACAAATTAAGATTCTGATAAAAAGTGATGATCTTCTGGGAACGATTAAAATACAAACCAAATTTCATGGCAACCAACATTACCATCCATAAAGCCACCCTGCTGGCCAGAACTACACACAAACAGGGTCTTAAATAATGTCTGAAATAATGAAGCTGCCATTTAACATCTGATCCAGCCTGTTGAAGGAAAGAAAAGCAGTTCTGCGGATGCTGCAGCTCAGACCGTCATCTGAATGACAATAAGATGCACTTGAGTTTATCTGTGAATGACAGCGGCTGCTCTGCTCTCACTTTCTGTCTGTCAGTCTGGATCCCTGCAGGCTGGATGAAGCTGAGACAACAAACACACTCTGCTCCTGTTGGTAGTTTATTGGTTTATCTTGAATTCTGATCACACCACAGGAGTGTTAACATGCCTGTCAATATCCGGTTATTCCTCAGGACTCCTGAGTGGTTTTATTTTCTTGTATGGAAACATCATATCCTGTTTACTGTAGCAGTGAAACTGAGATGTGGTGAAACTATCTTCGCATTTACCTGGTGGGTTTTAACAGGTTTGCATAGGCTGGGTCTCCAATGGCGACGTTAACAGTGTTTGGTTTATTCAGGGAGAGTGTGATGTTGCATGTAAACAGCTGATCCCGAGCGAGCGAGTGGGCATCAGGACGGAGAGTGATCAGGAGTGGTGTGTGTACGGTATTACACAAAACTGAGGCCTT